TAGCAACATTTAATGATGCTTCTTTTTCCTTTTCTGCTAATCCTTGATTCCGGTTTTCTTTTTCTTTACACTTAGATTTTTTTAATTCTTTACTTTTGATTTACGTTTTCTTTTTCTTTAGACTTAATTCGAAATATCTCTTCCTTAAACGCATTGTCCTTTCTGCCTTCAGAATGTTCTCATCCCTTTTCTTCTGTCTCCCTTAAACGGTCTTCCTCTTCCTTTACCTTTGCCTGGACCTCATGTCACTCCGCAGGAAAATCTTCTCGGAGTTGTGTAGTGCAACGGAAGGGGTACTGACGCAGTCCTCGCCTTTTTCTTCAATGGCTAGGGCTTCCAGTAGTTCACGGGCGAGTTGATTTTTATGTCGCCCCACGATGCTTACATTGCACAGGGTTGCCCCGCATTGGCATGCGCGACAATGTGCTGCAAGGTGTCCTGCTGCTGTCACGTTTCGTAGAGATGTGGCATGTTCTCTGGTTCTATCATTGATACAGCGCCCTGTCTGCCCAATATAACACCTTCCACATGTTAATGGGGTGTTATAAATGACCTCTTTTTGACATTGGGCGTACCTTGTTTTGTGTGCGATGTTACATGCCTCTTGGTGCCTACGTTGGTTTTCGTTTACCCTGCCGCACATAGAATACCCTTTGTTTGGCGCAGAGCTTATCACTTGGACCCCTTGCCGGCCTGCGATCTTTTTTAGCCGGTGAGTGATGCCATGAAGATATGGTGCTACCACTATGGTACTTGCATTCTTTTTCTTTGTTGTTCGCTCGATGCTTTCCTGTCCGCGCTTCAACTTCTGGGAGATCTTTTCACATATTGATACCAGTAGCGTTTCCGGATACCCAGAATCAAGTAGCTTGGATAACTGAGTGTCGAAACTCTTCTGGATCTGGTGTTCGCAAGACTTCTTTAAGGCAGATGTTAGTGCCGTGGTGGCGACCCCACGTTTCACGTTCTTTGAGTGTCCGGATTCGAATGGAAGGAACCCTTTGCAGGATCGAGCTTGGTATCGCCAGCAGATGTGGTCTTCTTTAAAGTCTAAGGCTAGATCGAGGAACCTGATAGATTTGTTTACGGGTAGTTCATGAGTGAACTCAAGTCCTGAGCAGCTCTGTTCAAAGCACCTCATGACATACTCGAGGCAATCGTTGTCTTGTTCTTCTATTTTCGTGTTACAAAGTATTAAAAAATCATCAACGTAGCGGAAGATGACTTCAACCCCGGGATCTTTCATGCTTCGTTGGATAGCAAGTTCGCATGATGCGAGAAACACATCGCTGAGGTAAGGAGCCACGCGAGACCCGATGCAAACGCTTACTCACAGATTTCCTGAGAGTAAAATGCCTCAGCCGCAACACCTTCCTAGATCAACTGAAAATGACAAGGAACGCAGCCGAATGGATGTGGACGCAACATTTCCTCCCAGCATGGAAACAGCACCTAGCAAGAAGAACCACAGTAAACACTAAAAGGCCTTCGCTTCGCGTCATTGGTGACGTCAATCTTACAGAAAAAGCCAAGAAGGTACTGGAACAGGGTCCAAAGTTTGCAGTACCGCCAAAGCTTCAGGCCGTTGACAAGGTTGCACTAGTAAGACGCATGGCGGCCAAAGCTCCAGAAGAAAAAGCATCGCAGATCATAAATGAAGGGATTGCTTGCCTTGCAAGCCTAAGGAGCCCTCAACATCAGGAAATGAGTTTTGACTCTACAGTGCAGGAATTGCGGAACAAAGATCTAAAACTATGCGTATCAGACAAGGAGGGAGGGTTCGTCGTCCTCGATAAAGGAAAATACGGAGAAAGAGCTCATCAGGCCATTACAGAGAATTTCATTCCAGTGGATCAAGAAATAACTACATCAACAAAAAAAGCCATCCTGAAGATACTAGAAAATAACCAGCTAGGCACTCTCGTCACAAAAGTTAAAGGATCGAAGAATAACCAACTGTCGGTTTTTTTCTCAGCCAAGACAGATAAAGAGGGGATTCCGTTCCGGGCAATTATATCAGAGAGAAATACATGGCAAGCACAAGTGTCAACATTTCTGGCCAAACAACTGTCCCAAGTGCAGGTACAAGACCCTTTCAAGGTTCCAAACTCAGAAAGTGTGATTTCCTTTCTGCAAGAAAATGGCTCTAACATCGCCTCTGGATTTTCCCTTGACATAAAATATATGTATTACTCCATCCCCCATACAGGCCTCCTAAACATACTTCGAGAAACAATTGAACAGCAAGGTCTCGCATCATTGCAAAGTGCGGCTGGCATGTCCCTCGATAGCTTTTTGGAATTGCTTAGTACTTACCTGAAGGCGACGGTGGTGTCCTATCAAGATCAGCAGTATGTGCAGAAAAGGGGCGTTTGCATCGGGTCTCGCGTGGCTCCTTACCTCAGCGATGTGTTTGTCGCATCATGCGGACTTGCTATCCAACGAAGCATGAAAGATCCCCGGGTTGAAGTCATCTTCCGCTACGTTGATGATTTTTTAATACTTTGTAACACGAAAATAGAAGAACAAGGCAACGATGGCCGCGAGTCGGTCATGAGGTGCTTTGAACAGAGCTGCTCAGGACCTGAGTTCACTCATGAACTACCCGTAAACAAATCTATCAGGTTCCTCGATCTAGCCTTAGACTTTAAAGAAGACCACGTCTGTTGGCGATACCAAGCTCGATCCTGCAAAGGGTTCCTTCCATTCGAATCCGGACACACAAAGAACGTGAAACGTGGGGTCGCCACCACGGCACTAACATCTGCCTCAAAGAAGTCTTGCGAACACCAGATCCAGAAGAGTTTTGACACTCAGATATCCAGGCTACTTGATGCTGGGTATCCGGAAACGCTACTGGTATAAATATGTGAAAAGATCTCCCAGAAGTTGAAGCGCGGACAGGAAGGCATCGAGCGAACAACAAAGAAAAAGAATGCAAGTCCCATTGTGGTAGCACCATATCTCCATGGCATCACTCACCGGCTAAAAAAGATCGCAGGCCGGCAAGGGGTCCAAGTGATAAGCTCTGCGCCAAACAAAGGGTATTCTATGTGCGGCAGGGTAAACGAAAACCAACGTAGGCACCAAGAGGCATGTAACATCGCACACAAAACAAGGTACGCCCAATGTCAAAAAGAGGTCATTTATAACATCCCATTAACATGTGGAAGGTGTTATATTGGGCAGACAGGGCGCTGTATCAATGATAGAACCAGAGAACATGCCACATCTCTACGAAACGTGACAGCAGCAGGACACCTTGCAGCCCATTGTCGCGCATGCCAATGCGGGGCAACCCTGTGCAACGTAAGCATCGTGGGGCGACATAAAAATCAACTCGCCCGTGAACTACTGGAAGCCCTAGCCATTGAAGAAAAAGGCGAGGACTGCGTCAGTGCCCCTTCCGTTGCACTACACAACTCCGAGAAGATTTTCCTGCGGAGTGACATGAGGTCCAGGCAAAGGTAAAGGAAGAGGAAGACCGTTTAAGGGAGACAGAAGAAAAGGGATGAGAACATTCCGAAGGCAGAAAGGACAATGCGTTTAAGGAAGAGATATTTCGAATTAAGTCTAAAGAAAAAGAAAACGTAAATCAAGAGTAGAGAATTAAAAAATCTAAGTGTAAAGAAAAAGAAAACCGGAATCAAGGATTAGCAGAAAAGGAAAAAGAGGCATCATTAAATGTTGCTAGTCCAGCGGTGCGAATGTTATATTTTTTCTCTGTGTGTTTTCCATGTTCAGCTGGCCCCATTCACAATCACATGCTTAAAATGTTGGTTGAAATTTCGCCTGCAGCTATAGGTCATTGTGGTGATTTGGGGTGAGCGTGGTGATTTCCACGGGCAAGAAAGAAAGCCTTCACTGAGGGAGAAAAAAAAAGAAGCAGGTCGAAGAAGAAGTGTGGAACTCGACGGGACAGCATCAGGCCGGCGGGCTGTGCCTTGCAACTTTACGCAAGGTCGTCCGTGGACAGGTCGACGGAGTCTTGCAGCTACACGCAAGACCCGACTACGAAGACGCCGCCTCCTAGCCACACGTCAACAGACGGGTTGAGACATCCAACCAAGCCATCGCTGCAACGCTCACCAGGCTTCGAACACTGTCGCATCGCTCCCCGGCAAGGCCTGTAACACTCTTATTTCATACTGTCAGTGACATTCGTTTGTGCGGTTTTTGTAATAATCTGTATATAATGTCTTAAATCTTTAATCATATTTATCGTATCGAACCACATTGTCTTCGTGTTCCGTCTCACTGTGTCACACACCTGCGAGCGTGAACTAGTCCACCACATATCTGGCGTCCGCGACAGGACTTTACTCTTGTTTTCCACTCTAAAGAGCTTCACCTCGCTGGTGTGTGTGTGACGACCGAGAATGGATCTCGAGAAGTTAATGAAGGTTGGCAAAGAGTTGGGGCTTTCGGGGCCAGAACTAAAACAATGGATGGACGATGAACGTGCTCGCGATCGAGATCAGCGTGTGGCAGAGCGCGAGGCTGTCAAAGAATCGGAAGCCAATGCTCGCGCTCGATTAGATGCAGAACGCGCAGTACTAGAGCTGAAGTTACGCTTACAGGAGCAACAGGGGATCGTAGGAGCGGTAGTTCCAGATGCGGCTGGCGAGGGTACGTCAACTGGTGCTGTACATGGACATCGGAGCCCGCACAAGCTAATACCGGCATTTAACGAGAGGCGCGACGAACTTGATGCGTATATCCAAAGATTTGAGCGGGTGGCAACTAGTCAGGAGTGGCCCCCGGATAAATGGGCCTTGTCCCTCAGCCTATGCCTGACAGGAGAGGCGCTAAGTGTGGTCGGACGCATGGCTCCTGACGACGCCATGGACTATAATAAGTTGAAGCAGACACTCCTTCAACGTTTTCGGTACACCGAGGAAGGGTACCACACTAAGTTTCGGAGCGCGAGACCGGAGGACGCGGAGACGGGTAGGCAATTTTCCGGCCGCCTTTTAGGGTATTTTGACCACTGGCAAAAGATGGCAAAAACGGAACACACTTACGACGCACTTCGAGATAAAATAGTGTCCGAACAGTTCCTGAAACAATGCCATGAGAAGCTCGCGAACTTTTTAAAGGAAAGGGGCTGCCAGGGCCTCGATAAGCTAGCGGAGGCTACAGACCACTACCTCGAGGCCCAAGGGTTGACCAACCTTGGAAAAAATAAAGAAGAAAAAGATTCTAGCAAGCCTTCGGGGTTAGCTAGAATTCCCGCCCATCGAGATGAAAAGAGGAAGCCGCAGTGCTTCCTCTGTAACAAACTGGGCCATCGGGCCGCAGACTGCTGGTCCAACTCAAAAGGACCTAAACAAAATGCGAATTTCTGCTGGAATTGCCGCGATAATGGGCATAAAGCCGAGGCTTGTCCTAACAAAAAGTCAGACGTTGGCGGTAAAGCGTCGTGCTCAGTGATGCACTGCAATCGTCCTGAGGACTTGGGCTCCGACGCCTGTCTGTCGAAGCAATATCCGGTGGGAACGGCAAGGACAAAGGGGTCCGAGGTTCAAGCAGAAGATATGCCGACGGCTACAGGACTGCTTGAGGGACAGCCTGTCACTGTTCTCGGGGATTCCGGATGTAACTCCGTAATAGTAAAGCGGTCATTAGTTCCTGATGGCAAACTGACAGGAAAAAGCCGAATGCTCTACCTGCTGGACCGCACAGTCAGGTGTCTACCAGAAGCGGAGGTGGACATTGATTCTCCTTATTTCAGGGGCAGAGTGACTGCAACGTGCATGGAAAATCCGCTGTACGACGTCGTATTAGGAAACGTTGTTGGCGTACGGGATGTTTCTACTCCTGATATCAACTGGAAAGCAGAGCAGTATGATCCAACCCAGAAAGAAGAGCCTGCATCAGAGACCTCAAATGAGAGCCACAGTAGTCTGACGAGTCAACCAACTGGTATAAAGACGCCCTCCTTCTTGGCTGCTATGAATCCGAAGGACAAGCAGCTTGAGGGTGCAGCTGGCCGGCTCCCTGTGGCAACGGTCAATCCAGTGGACATTCATCCAGAGGAGCTGCGAACCAAGCAAAGAGAAGACCCTTCGCTAAACGGCTGCTTTGAAGCTGTTGGACGCGAGGTGGTGTCACGAGCAGCTGATGTTAAGTTCGTGTTGACAAATGGAATTCTTTTTTCCTCACTACAGGTTACCATCGGCTAAGCAAATGGAACAGCTCGTCGTCCCAAGCAACCTTCGAAGCTTCGTGCTGAAAATGGCGCACGAGGGGATTCTCTCTGGACACCAGGGAATTAAGCGCACAACATATCGGGTGCTCGAGGAGTTTTACTGGCCGGGTGTGCAGGGAGATGTCACTCGGTTCGTAAAGTCGTGTGACATCTGCCAGCGAACTGTGCCAAAGCACTTAGTAGGCCGTGTGCCTCTCGGAAACATGCCAGTCATTGTTACACCTTTTCAGTGGGTAGCCATCGATATTGTGGGCCCACTAGCACCAATCTCAGAGAAGGGAAACCGCTATGTCCTCACCATGGTGGACTTCGCGACACGTTACCCTGACGCCATTGCTCTGCCAAGCATTGAGACCGAGAAGGTAGCCGAAGCTCTCCTCGAAATGTTCTCACGCGTGGGGTTTCCGCGCGAAATCATTAGCGATCGTGGCAGATCGTTCCTGTCTGGACTCATGAAGGAGTTCAGTCGTCTGCTCTCGTTCAGACAGCTGCCGACCACACCGTACCATCCTATGGCCAATGGCCTTGTAGAACGCTTTAATGGTACGTTGAAGCAAATGATACGCCGGATGTGTCAGGAGTGCCCTAAAAGCTGGGACAGGTACTTAGCGCCTTTGTTATTCGCGTATCGCGAACTTCCACAGACTAGCCTCGGGTTTGCGCCCTTCGACTTACTGTGCGGCAGATACGTCAGAGGACCCATGGCCATCTTGAAAGAGCTCTGGACAGGGGAACGTATAGACGACGAGACGAAGACCTCATATGGCTACATGATTGACCTGCGCCAGCGGTTAGAGGAAACATGCCGGATGGCCCAAGAACATCTCACGAAAGCGAAGGCCGTACAGAAGAGATACTATGACAAAAAGGCAAGAGTGCGCCAACTCTCTGTCGGAGACAAGGTTCTTCTACTCCTTCCCTCTGACGCTAACAAACTTATCTTGACTTGGAAAGGTCCCTTTGCCGTCTTAGAAAGACGAAACGACGTCGACTACGTCATCGACCTAGGGACCAGAACCAGCTTGTTCCACATCAACATGCTGAAGAAGTATGAAGAAAGGCCACTAACCGATCAGACACCCCAACGTGCGTCAGCCGCATTCCAACACGAGGAAGTGGAGGAAGAGGATGTACCTGTGCTGACGCTGCACCAAAAGGAAACTTACCGAGACGTGAAAGTTTCCGAGGAATTAACTAGCGATCAACGAACTCAGGTTGCTACCCTCTTGGCGGCACACCAGGGGAGTCTTTCAGATGTTCCAGGAAAGACCGATTTGGTGGAATGCAAATTGAAGCTTACAACAGACACCCCTGTTCAGGTGAACCAGTACCCGATACCATTCTCTTTACAAGAAGCTGTGGAAAGTGAAATCCAGCAAATGCTACAGCAAGGCATAATTGAGCCATCGGAGTCTCCGTATCAATCACCTGTTGTGGTGGTAAAGAAAAAAGACAAGTCAATGCGGCTGTGCATTGATTTCCGACAACTGAACAGGGCTCTGATCTCCGACAACGAACCAATACCAAGGGTGGACATGATGTTTGCACAATTAGGACGAAGCCGGTACTTCTCAAAGTTCGACTTCTCGAAGGGGTACTGGCAGGTTCCAATGCATGAGGAAGCAAAACCGATGACGGCCTTCTCTTCCAGATTGGGATTGTACCAGTTCCGTGTTATGCCCTTTGGTATCAAAACCGCGCCGGCCATTTTCACCCGGCTGATGAGAAAAGTGGTCCAGGGTCTCCCAAAGGTCTACCACTACTTCGACGACGTCCTCATTGCCACAGAGAACTGGGAGGAACACCTGGAGACGCTCGAGTTGTTCTTCCGGCGGGTTAAGGATGCCGGCTTAACCATCCGACCTACAAAAAGCGAAGTTGGTTTTCCCTCTGTGAAGTTCCTCGGACACATCGTTGGTCATGGTCTCCTGAGGCCGCAGGTCGAGACACTGGAGAAGATTCAAGCTGCTAAACAGCCAGAGACGAAAAAAGAGGTGCGATCATTCCTCGGCCTTACCGGCTATTATCGGGATTTCGTTCCTCAGTACGCTGAGATTTCTCATCCACTAACCGAACTGACACGAAAGAGGGCACCAAACAGGGTAAATTGGAGCAAAAAGGAACAAGAGGCTTTTGACAAGCTAAGAGAACAATTGTCTAAAGAACCCATTCTAAAAGCACCTCAATAAAGGCACATATAAAATTGTACACTTCCTACGAAAAACACGGCAAAAAATATTAAATAGAAATGAGCGCGCCGGCAGCTAGCGTCGTCAGAGCCTCCACAAGGCGAACGGGGCGAGTCGGGGAAAAATTCTCTCCTCGCCGTGTCGTCGCCCCGGTTTGCCGTAAGGGGGCGCCACGCGAACTTCTCGGGGCTAATTGATAATTATCTCTCCCCAAAAGCAGGGGGACAAAAAAGGGGGCCCGGTTGCTCCGACGGATACCAACGGAACGGCGGATATTCTCTAGACCTGTCGCAGATTCTCCTTGGGTCCCCGCGAGCACACCGCGAGCTCGAGGGATCAGCGAATATCCGTGACGTAAAGCACGTGACCTCACAACTCGACGACGCTTACTCTTCTCCTCGGGAAGAAACTCCGTCGTGCGAATACACCATAAGACGGCATCGTTCAAATTCTTCAACGGTAAATTACCTGAATTCTGACCTATGGAGAGTTAACCCTGTATTGCTGTGAACTAGTATCTGAAAACGTGCTTCATTGTAACAATCTACTTTTAATCTTTTTTAGGTTTCTGACTATTTCATTACTCACCTTTTCGTGTTGCAGAGAAGCGCCAGTCCCGTGCAATGTACCGTTTGCGTTCTGTCCCAGGTGTGTTCTAACAAAAACGCATCTGAACACGAACTTAACACGAACTTAGAGCCATGGTAACTGGAACGCGGACAGTAAAGGACGTTTTTTGTTGGTGAAACCACAGTGCGAGCTTTGAAAACATTTCGACACAGTTCTATAATTTTTTAGTGTTTCTAGGATCTGTCAAGCTTTTCCATTCACTTGAAGATTTACCGGCGTCATTTTGAGCGGGAAAATCGTAATGTTGTTTTTTTTTTCACCTAAAATCAGCTCAGCCTGTCATAATTTCTGCCAACCGGCGACTTCGTCAATTTGACTGCGTTTAAACTTGTACCAATATATATATATATATATATATATATATTAGTTTTTTTTTTTTTTGTCTTTATTCGTCATGCGCGAAACATTAGGTAACCATATTTGAAGTGTTTTATACACTGAATAATACTGCTCCACTTTTTTGGCACCGAGTTTGCATAAGTTCTTAACATAGAGCTTGGTGACTAAATGTGCGTACACGTAAATGAAATTCAATACCTTGATTGTTTAAACGGCGATCCCTAGAGTGCAAATAATTATTTAGTAATTCTAAGTTTTATGACTTTCTACAAGCGTGACTTAAAATACTTCTATTACGTGTGATAATTGTGTTTTATTGTCATTGCTTCCTGCAAGGTTATATTTAATTTTACTCTTTGATATGTTATTTCGTTTGTTGAGCATTTGCGGAATTTCATTTTTTTGTGTTTTTTGCATAATGTGAAATTCTGAACAGTTTTGTAACAGCCCCAAATCAAAAATTGCTCTTACGTAATAAGTATATTTTTCTTTTATTAATGATTAAATTTGATGGTTAATACTAGTATAAAATCATTAACCCTACTCATGCCACGATATGGGCCATAATAGCTAGCATTCACGTGAAGGCTTATTAACAACGCACATTTAAGGAGATTAAAGCTTTAATTTCGAATACATAAACAATATACCGCGCTTTTTATTTATTTTTATTATTAAAACTTTGGCATCCTTTACTAATACTACAATAAAAAATAGTTTTTGAGAAAATCGATCCCGAATTCGTAAGAGTTTTTGATCATTGGGTAATTCAAACGTATGCAGCAAATGTTTTGTTTTACATAGAATATTGATTTTATAATAAAAAATATAAGTAGCTTTACGACATCTTATGATATTAAGTTAATTTATATATTTTAAATAAGTAACGTGTAAAAATGTTCAAACTTCTCCAAAAATATGCGAACACAGTTAGAGGTTTTTTAAATTGTAAAGACTATATTTTTTTTTATTTTAATGGGCACAATGAAAACTATTTTAAAATTGGTCACCTAAGAGTCCTAGTGCACTGGTTTTATTAGTAGCAAAATACCGAGTGATCAAACATGCCATCTTCGACAGGCTGAAGGAACGTCAGTTTTCGCCTCGACCGATTGAATGGTCAATAACTTGAGAGCAATAAATCCACCAAGCTTCTCTTTTATGCTGTCTTTCGTATGAAGAATGGTGCCGGAGCACATTTGCTTTATAAAAATTTAAAATTCGAGCTTAAAATCATGCCTGACGTGAGATGAAAACAGCCATATATATGTTGCTGCCGACCTCATTCATCTGAATACAAGTGCGCAGCTGTTACGATAGAGAATGTTTGGAGCGCCTGAGGATATTGCGAGTAAGTTTCGACTTCCTATGCCGTCTATCTCGTCACTACGGCTATATAACCCAGCGGCTAACAAAGCCTCGTGAGGGATATTGAGGTCACATAGACGGCTCGGGGGGGCAAAAAACTAGACGTATCTTACGTTACAGGCAAACCACTGCCAAAAGCCCGCCGTCTCATCCATAATTAATGGCACATTTTTCAGCTCAGAAAAAGGATAACGAGAATTGAAAGGCCAGGCGAAAAAACCGTCTCTTTGTACTGTAGGAGCAGCATGTAAAGCTATTTTCATAAAATGTCCTGCTGTCCCAGAGTAAGAGATAATAAAAGACAAGTTTGCTCTGCAGAATCGGCTTGAGCGCTACATAGTTTTTCCACGGAGCAGGTCAAGTCACCTGAGAATTTCCCTCGCATCTCTGTCACCTGCCGGGAAAGATACCGGCATCGGTGAGCTCAATACCTGCAGTGGTGGTTCTCTGCAGTGGCGGTTCGACATTTGCCGTACTGGGGCAGAAAACAGAGAGTCTGCTTTGTGCAGGCTGAATCCCAAATACATCTTGCCGGCCTCACCAGCCAGGAGCGCAAGTATCGTCATGTCGTACTTGGTCTGTCACCGGCAGCAGGCGACGAAGTAAATATCAGTCATTCGCACTCCGTGGCCTTGACTCCGTTCGACCAGATCAAGGCGAATTTCCAGCAGCAAACCGCGGTGTCGGTCCGCTACCGCTTGCAACAAATATACTTACAGCGGATGTGCTGGGCGACCGCCGTCATTCAAAGTTGCTGAAACGAATGACCCAACTTTTTGATGAGAGAAGCAATAGACGACACCCTACCACAAGAAATGTTTCTGCAGCGTCTTCCCTGCAACGTTTACAGGGTCCATGCTACTGCGATAACTCTCGACTGACAGATATCACGGGCCTGGCAGATTTGTGATGGAGGTTAGAGCGCTCTCCGTCGCTAACGTTGATTCGGCGACGCACAACGTGAGAGACACCGACCGCAGGGACTCGTCACAAACATCGCGACGTACTTCACCGTCTGACCGCAAATCTCGATCATGAGCGAGGCATCAGTCACGACTGTCCGCGCGGCCCTACAGCAAAAGGTTACAGTGTATTTGGCCGTCCAACACTTTCGACATTTTGTCGAAGGTCGTCCTTTTGTCATCCGGACAAACCCTATGCTCCTAACGTACACCATCCGTAATTCGGGTTTCACTTCCAGGCGTCGAGATACGCGGCAGCTCGCACACTTGCCAGACCTCACCGCGGAAATTCGGCTTGTACAACGGAAGTTCAACGTCCCTGCTGATAAGCTGAGCAGAATGGATGCCGCTTCTTCAGCTCTACACGTCTACGTCACCTAGATGGCTCATCATCAGGTTTCCGACAAAGAGTTGCAGCAGCAGCGCACGGTGAGTACATTCCTTCGACTCCAAGACGTCCAATTCCCTGGAGACATAACCATCTTCTGCGACACATCAACAGGAACACATCGCCCGTTTACTCAAGTTGGGCTACGAAGACAACTTGTTGATGCTATTCATTCGCTGCCGCAACCCGCTGTATGGGCGACGCCGAACCTGGTGACCAGCCTCTAGGTTTGGCCACGGCTGAAGTCAGATCTGCGGGACTGGATGGGCATAAGCTTGACATGTCAGCTAGCTAAAGTACATCGTTATCCCGTTCCTCCATAGCCGAGCTTCTTGCCACCAGTTGCCCGTTTCGGCAAGGTTTAACTTGATCTTGTAGGGCCCCTTCCAACCTCGCAGGGGCAACGATACATTTTTACTTTTACAAACCGCCTTACAAAATTGCCGGTAGCACAAGCACTACCGGACTCAGCAGCAGCAAGTGTAGCCGAAGCGTTCGTGACCTCGTGGGTGGCACGCTCCGAATGTCATTCAGAAATTATCACCAACAGAGGGCGACAATTTAAGTTCCGCATCTTCGCCGTGTTTACTCAACACTTCGGCGTTACAAGATCCCGGACAGCAACTGTCCATCCCAAGTCAAATGATCTTCCTATTGAAAAATACTTTTTACCGGAATTTCATTTCCAGTAAACTATTCATTTACTGATTTATGGGGCTCTTTTCACTTCCGGTAAAGCCAAAAACTACCGGAATGTCACCGGCATTTTTATCCGATTGCAACAGGAGTTTTTTACCGGAATGTCACCATTTTTGTACCGGAATTTTATTTCCAGTAAAAAAATATATTTTACTGAATGATGGGACCTTTTCACTTCCAGTAAAGCCGGAATTCACCGGGGCTTACCGTGTTTTCATTTTTATTTCGGACGTCGACGGAAGGCACTTTCAGGTCACTGAAAAATATTTTCTTTTCACCTCCACACCCCGCTGCTCGGGAATATACAGGTCGCACACATGGAACGAGAAGCCGAGACTGAGCATCCGTTTCTGGCCGGCCGTTGCTCGTTGACGGACGAAGAAACCAATTTTGTTTAAAACAGTCAGCAAAACGACCCTCTCGCATTTTCCCCATGAATCCAATGCGAGGGAGACAGGGTTCGTGGGGACTCGTCCTCGGTCTGTTGTACGCACCATAATTACACAGCCAGTTCCCGGCTCGTCTCGGCGTCCCCCTCTCCTCGCGTCGGCGTCGAGTGAAGTTCGGTAAACAGGGAAGCGAGTCACCTGTTTCGGGTAAGATTTCTAGCAAAACTGGGTTGTCTGGTAAACGAAAGTGTCTGCCGGTGACATTCTAGCGAAATCTAGAAACCCGCTGCCGGTGGAATTCCAGCGAAATCAGTTTTCCGGAAAATGATCTAGCAAAGACTGGTAAACTACGCTGGTTTCGAATGAAAACGGGTGAAACTGCCCACCTTTTTGGATCGTCAAAACAGTTCGCTGCACGCACTTGCAGGATTGCAGCGTCTTCTCGAGCTAAAACAGGCACTCACGAGAATGCCGCTGCAGTGGCGGCCACCATTACAAACACCGTCCCCCTTCTCGTCTTGGCTTTCTTGCCTTCCGCCGCTCCCCTTGCGTCGGCTTCCAGTGAAGTTCGGTGTCCGGCAAACGAGAGTGGCTTCCAGTAGGATTCCACCGGCGGGTAATCGAAAGTGGTTCTGGTAAAACATCCAGCGAAAGGGGCGGCCGGTAATATTGCCACCAAAAAACTGGTAAACTGCGCTAGTTTCTGGCGAAAATGAGTGGAAATTAACCCGTTTCCACCGAATGGCACTGGAAGTTTTTGACGGATTTATTAATAGGGTGCTGGTCGAGAGTTTTCATTGTAGTATAAAGTATGCGCTCATGACACATTCCAACTCAACCGAGTGGTTCAAAAAAAAACCCTGAAGGGTTTTGTTGTGCTGGTCACCCGACACCCGGACACAACTGCTCTCGTACGGCTAAAACCTGCCCATTTAGAACCTTCACCAGTGAACCTCGCATCTTATGCAACAAACACTGAAAAAAAAGAGACTTGAAAAAAGTCGGCCCACGTCCAATGGCAACGTTACCGCTAGAAAGCGTTTCCAGTGTGTTCATGTTTATTTTCACAGCGAAATTGCACATGAGTCGCAGGATAGAGTTAGTTTTTACGCGTCGACAGAAAACTCACACGCGCTTATCTCTTATAATGTGGTTTTGAGACTTATTTCAATAGGAAAGCCACCAAAGAAGTGTCAAAACCACGTGACAGATGATTAGCACGTCGCGCTCTCCGCATGCGCTAGCGGTAGACTGCGGTTGCATGAGTTGCCGCGGCAACGGCAGTGCAACGTCTGGAGTGACGTAACTAGCCCCACTAACATTGCGAAGCACGTATATTTCACCGCATGCGTTTCTCGGTAAAGATGGGGGTTGCATAAACTGTCGCGCGAACGGCGGCGTATGAAGTATTTCGTATAAAAAAACTACTTGGTACAGTGCTTTACTTTTCTTTCGTCAATCATTGTGAATTGACACTTTTGCTGTTTACAAACACGAACTGCCGCTTGAGTCCCAAGCGACTTGCGGTAACACCATCTTTAAAGCCTGTTCAGCTTGTTTACGTCACCAGAACTAAAAAGTATAAATGCTGCAGGGACAATAAAGCTGGAGATTTAAAGAGCACCTTTAAAGAGCGGCTGTACAATATTACATCTTGGAGGAGGCTAGTTGTTTTTCAAAAAAACTACTCGAAAACTTTTAACACATCTCGCACTCCTTCGGTGTTTTGGCGTTCACCTGAAAATTGGCGGTTAAACGTTTTATTTACTTTTTGTGCGGGGGTGTTAAGGTAGCTTTTGTTCATACTTTTTATAAACCGAAAGTTTTCTGGCACGTCAAAGCGTGGAGCACCACCTGTTAACGTTTGGCATAAAAGTTGTCTAGAGGCGTTTCTCGTCTTCTTTCGTCCTCAGTCACGTGGGTTTCGTATCTGGTATACGGAACGAAAAAATAAAGAAACATTTCAGCCAGGAATGCGCGAAAAAATATAGGTGATGCCGATCAAGAATGTGTGACAATCACGCAGTTTTCGTGAACAACTTCCTGGCGTGGAGACTCCAAGCGAATGTTTTAACGCATACCAGAAGTAACGAAATTCAAGATGGTTGCGCCGTTGTTGAAAAGGTGTATAGCGCACTGGGCAATCGTTGCAGGTAATACCACAGCTTCGCTGTCCAGCCTCCTTCACCGCGTAGATTGGAGCCTTCAGTTTTGATTACCGTAAAATACCCAGGTATTTTTTAATGCTCGGCCATGCACCTTCGCTAAGGAAGGCATGTTCATGGGGACAGACACAGACGCCTATTGGTTACTCAAAAAATAAAGAAGATTACTCGATGCGCGAGACACGCGCTGGTAAGGACATTCGAGTTGTGGAGGAAGGCAGAGGCATGTGTCCGCTGTCTTCAGTAAATTAATGGGGAAGGATATCTTCAATCGCCACTAGGACTTGAACTCTAATTAATTCTAATATTGTTACGCAGATGTGCGGCCGGCAGTAAATGACAGTGACGCATCCGCTAATTGAGATACAAATATTTTATAGGAGCCGGGCAGTGCGCGAGGAGCGTGACGCGCAATGGTCAGACACGCCACTACCCCAGCGTTGTCGTCTTCTTCTTCACAATCATGTGCAGGATGAACTTTACTATTGTAGATATTTACTAATGTTTGGCGTTTGCCAAATATGTGTCACATAATTAAGGTTTGGGCGCATTCTATCGTTTTTTAAGTACTGTTACCGCTGACATAAGCTGAACACTACCAGTTGCGGTACTCCACATTGATCGGCATACTTTTTTTATGAAGAGAAATGAATACAAAAATCGCAAGTTCCTGTGCTGTCCAAACTATGGTAAAGGAGATGTAAACTGCTTTGTTCAAACCCTTGTCGATGGAATGCCTTGCCGAAAGAAAAAGTTAAGAACCGTGGCCCACATAGGTTGGAAAAAGCTCGAAGACTAAAGCAAACTTTTTCACCCTACTATCGTTTTACACCATATCTTGCTTGAAGAAACATCCCACATTTTTGTCTTATTCTTGGCGCGCATAAATGCGTCACATTTTAGTTTCAACGTCAGACGGTGAAGTGTTACCGACGCTTAGCGACTAAGGGATCCATCGAACTACTAGAGAATGAAACGCCACATAAATTCCACACACATTGTCCACATGCGCGTTCAATTCTCCGCAGCGCTCTTTTATCGGAAGTGTCCGCTGACATGAATATTGTTTCAGTTTTCTAAGTCATAATATATACCTTATTATTGAGCACTTTATCAGAAAATGCAGTTTTTGAGTTTTAATTAAGAGAGCAGGAATTTCTCACCCACAACAGAGGAGAATGTTTCCTTTCGTCTCTAAGGAATTATGACGAGATAACAGGAGAACCCCTTTTGACAGGAGTTCTTGAGTTTAAAGGAAAGTAAAGTGCAACTTCCTCCGAACCACTGCCCCTCTCTTTTCATGAAAGTTATTTGTGAAATACCGTATATTTTGTTTTCTTATTTGGTCATTGTGTGCGCGAAATTGAGAGTTTTTCGGATAAATTCAAAGTAACTAAAATGTTTGCGGCATGTATTTTTTACGTTTTTTATGCACCCGAAAGGGCGGGATCCATGATGTAAATAATAACTAAAAGCTTTTGAAGCATTTCAATGAGAAAATGGCGGCCGACAACTTCCATGATTAGGTGGGGATTCCCAAACAAAAGCACACGATTGATCACGGCAACGGCTAGTTCGGAAAATTTCTCATGTGGTCCGGACCGCTAGCGCTATATGTAGCTAAACTACTAGGGAGTTTTCGCAAACCGCGTTTTAACCTCCGCTAAGCCCTCCGTAACCAAGAACCCGCTACTCCGCCTGCGCGCTGATGGCGTTGACTGTAGAGTTCCGTGTACCGTTGCGGGATGCGGAGAGCGTTGCGGGACGGCGAAAACCATATACAAAACTCTTTATTAAGTGTTCAGCGGTGCTTCATTAGATTATGTGTATAGAAAACATAAACGCCGACTCTCCTTTTAGGAACAAGCTGTACAGGAAAGAGGACGTAAGGTTGCATCGTTATTCGAGTACTTCTGTCTTCTGTGACCTTCAGAAAGTTACATATAACGATAATATCGAAAAACTAGTTGTAAAAATAAAAACAAAAATAAAGGTTCCCGCAAAAAGGTACAATATAGTAGAGTTTATCACCTGCCAAAAACATCCGTTGTGTTAATCACCTGACACGACGCTGCACCGCCTCAATTTATGCATGTTGTCGCAAAAAAATAAAAAAAAAATAGGGCAGGAAAGGACAAGCAACAATTTCGAAATATGTTCCGGCAGGTGCCAGAAAGGTCTAGACTGCACGTGAACATAACTGCATTTCTCCTAGAACTAGTTTTTCCTTGAAACGGTTTGAGCAAAAGAATGAAATACATCTGCCAAGTTGTTTTCTTCATTTTTCGTAAAACTGAAAGGAATGCAGTAAAAACGTGCCGAAATTTCGTTTAAAATGGTTGTGGAATGTTCTTGAGAACCATTCATCTTTGTTTTTTCTCTTTATACATGGTGTTTTTTTTTTAGCCGGACAGATCTGTTTAAAACAAGCTCTGAAAGCGACACGTATGCGCTTTGTGCAGGTGACTTAGACGGCCAAGGGGACATAGTGTAGGGCACTGTAGGAAGCATTACGCATCAGCCAGCATGGAGATTCGAACGAATGATCTTTTATTGCGCGCGCTCCGCGCTCGTGCTCAAAACGCGGCACCGCTGGGAAACGTGGCGCCATCTATCGCTAGTTACTACATCTCTTTTCTCTGGTAAAGTCAGCTTAGAGCGTTACCATCAACATGGTTGGTATCGTTGTGGTGGCCTTCTTTTCCTTGTTCCTCTTTGCGGCCGCGCTCCCGGGTGAGGCTGACTCTGGTTAAAGTCACTGGGACTCTGTTCCGTGCAGGCTGTGTCTTTCCCCGTGGAGGTCAGCTCTCGCCGAGAATCCGTCGCCGTTCGTAAGTGTTCACGGGTTCTTCGGTGGACCCGACCCCCTGGGGTTAAAATGTCGTAGGACCTCGGCACTGGATGTCCCACGACTATGGCAGGTGACCATGTGCGCCGCAGGGTGTTGTAGACGGTGACTGTAGAACCCGTGTCAATGTCTGGCATTGTTCTTGAGCTTCTATCGTAGCTCGCCTTTTGTTGCCGCCTTATTTCTGTGAGACGACGTGTGACAGCCTTGGGTGGCACAACAGCCGGCAGGTAATGTTCCGATCGCGCAGGTAACAGTGTTCTTGTGTGTCGGCTCATCAGTCTCTGTACTGGCGATTGGAGGACATCGTCTCGTGGAGTGTTGCGCCACTCAGGGAGGGAGCGGTAAAACTCTTCAGTGTTGGCACTCTTTCGCAAGAGTTGTTTGGCCTGTCTCACGGCTCGTTCAGCCATGCCATTTGATCGAGCGTGGTAAGGGCTTGATGTAACTTGTTCTATCTTCAGGTTTTTCAAGAACTGCTTGAACTCCCGGCTGCCAAATGGTGGGCCATTGTCGCTCGTAAGTTTCAACGGCAGTCCATGTGTTGCGAATACCTTAAGGCAGAACTCTTTGACTTTGGAAGCTGTGGTACTTTTCATTTCTTCTACCTCAAAATAAAATGAGTAAAAATCCACCAGGATTATGTAGTCTTTTCCTTCATGAGTGAAGAAATCGGTCCCGACCAACTGCCAAGGAAGCGTTGGCAGTGCGTGGCTGAGGAGTGGCATCTTGGCGTTTCTTGATTTGTACTTCTCGCATTTGCTGCATTTGTCATGTTCGCGGTCAATGTCAGCGTTGATTCCGGGCCAGAACAAAATTTCTCGGGTTCTTCTCTTCATTCTGTCTTTGCCCGCGTGTGCCGTGTGGAGCAAGTTGAGAATCTTGGATCTGATGGCCGTTGGAATTATTATCTTGTTTGACCGCAGCACAAGGCCGTCTTCCTCGTGGATCTCCTCTCTGTAGGACCAGAATGGCCTTCCGAGTTGAGGAACTTGCTCTTTCTGCTCGGGCCATGACGTCTGTGCATACTCGCGCAGTAGACGCATCCTAACATCGGCTGCAGTTGCGTCTCTTATTTCATTTAGCCGATCTTGTGTGACAGATATGTGCTCCAGTGAGTTGACTTGAAATTTCTCTTCTTCTTCTTGCATTGTTTCCTTCGTGGGAAACCGTGACAGTGCGTCCGCTAACTGCAAGTCTTTTCCAGGTATGAATTTTACTTCCAATGAGTATCTTTGGAGAGCCATCTTCATTCGCTGCAGTCTCATCGGGCACTGATGCAGCGGTTTCATGAAAATAGCCTGTAACGGCCTGTGGTCGGATTCTACTGTTACGTTTGGTTGGCCGAATATGTAATGGTGGAACTTGCTGCAACCATGGACAATGGCCAGCATCTCTTTCTCGATCTGCGCATATTTCATTTCTGCGGCTGTCAAAGATCTCGATGAGTACGCTATTGGTCTTCCGTCTTGGGTGATAACGGCCCCTACTCCGCATTGGCTTGCGTCGACTGACAGCGTAATCGGCTTTTCTGCAGTGTAGTAAGCCAGCACTGGTGCCTTCGTCAAAGCGTCTCGCAAGTCTTCGAAACTTCTTTGCTGATCTACCGTCCATACCCATGAAATCTCTTTTTTCAGCAGTTCTCGTAGTGGTGCCGCACGCTCGGAAAGTCGTGGTATGAAGCTCGACAAGTAGGTGATCATTCCGAGAAATGTTCGAAGTTCCTTGCGATCTTTTGGTTCATTGACCTCCAGTATGGCTTTGATTCTCTCTTGGTCAACAGCAACTCCATCTCCAGTTAGCACTTGTCCGAGGTAGCGGACTTCTGTCTTCGCGAATTGGATCTTCTTTGGGTTAAGTCGTAGATTCACTTCACGGCAGCGTTGGAGCAAGTGTCGCAGATTCTCGTCATGTTCCTGGCGAGTCTTTCCCCACACCAATATGTCGTCCATCACGACTGCTGTTCCTGTGAGTCCATCTAGTACTTCGTTCATGACACGCTGAAAAACTTCAGGTGCTGTGCTTATTCCGAAGGGCATTCTCTTAAACCTGTACCTTCCATACGGAGTACTCATGGTGCACAACTTTGAACTCTCTTCATCAAGTTCGATCTGCCAGAATCCTGAGGATGCGTCTAGCGCAGAGAACACTTTCGCTCCCGCGATTCGAACGGCAATGTCGTCCATTGTCGTCATCGGGTAGTGTTCTCTCCTCAGGGCTCGATTCAAGTCAACTGGGTCCATGCAGATACGAACTTTGTCCTTCTTTGCGACAACTACCATGAAACTGGCCCATTCTGTCGGTTCTTTTACTTTTGTCAGAACTCCCTGGTTCTCCATTCTTTGAAGTTCGCACTTGACCTTTTCTTGCAGTGCCACAGGCACCTTCCTGGCTGGGCGAACGACGCCTTGTGAACCTGGTTTCACCTTCATGTTGTACACAAATCCCTTGACCTTTCCCAGTCCGCTGAAAATGTCTGCGTATGGTCCGGCAGGGTCACAAAGATTTGTATCTGCTGCATTTGTGTCTTCGTGTTCTCTTGACACAGAAGCCAGACGCTTGATCATTCCAAGTTTTTCACTCAGTTCTCCTCCCAACGTCACCGGTACCTCTTCCTTGACCACAAAGAACTTCTCCTGGACAGCTCTGCCTCCATTCGACACTGTCAGTGTTGTTCTTTCACATGCTTTTTTCTTGTGGCCAAAAAACGATGATAGTGTGGTATCGCACTTCTGGACTTTTTTGTTTGATATTAGACGGATCAGTCTTTCTGGGATGACTGAGCAATTAGCCCCGGTGTCGAGCTTGCAGCGTACGCTATCTTTTTCTATTGTGACTGTCTCGCTCCATCGGTCTTCTTTCTCTATCTTATCTACGGTTAAATGGCACAGCAGATAATCTTCATCGCTGTCGTCCGTTTCCTCGCGCTCTACTTGTCGTACTTTGGGATCAAATTTTCGTCCTTTTTTCGACTGGCGTCGGTGACGGCTGTCTGGTGTGTGGGTCTCGCTCTTGCAGCATTTTGCAAAGTGGCCTAGCTCGCCACAACTAAGGCACTGTTTTCCAGTAGCTGGGCACGTGCTCGCGCGATGAACAAAGCCGCAACGGTGGCACGTGGCTTGGTCTGATCTTCTAAGCACCTTTACTGTCAGTGGGTCCTCGTGTCGCTTGTCCCTTCCGTGGATTTCGTTGAACTGTTCTTCAGTTCGTTCCCTTGTTCGGCATATCTCCAGGACTTTGTCAAAGGTAGGATTGTCGTTAATCAGTTTCTGCTGCAACTGTCGGTGTTTAGTTCCGAGTATTATTCGGCTTCTTAGCAAACGTTCTTCGACGCCACCGTACTCGCAGTTGCGTACAAGCACCCTCAGTTCCGTCAACCACTCATCAAACTTCTCACCTTCCTTTTGGTCTCTTTTTTCAAAGATGAATTCGTGGTACGTGAGGTTGATCGCTGGCTTCATGTGCGCCGCGAACTTATTCTTCAGGACCTCGAGTTTCTCTCTATCTTCTTCGTTATCGAATATGAAGGTAGTGTAAATTCGCCTACCTTCTTCTCCGATGCAGACGAGAAGTGTTGCTGCTTGCACTTTGTCAGGTTGGTCCATCAGGTGCGTTGCTACCGCAAACAGCTCGAATTCCATTAGCCACTTCTTCCATGCGTTCCAAGGTTCGCTTGCCATGTCTAGCGGTTTCGGCGGCGGTAGTAGGCTTGTCATGGTGGTCGCCGTTCGCTCACTTTGGCGTTCTTCGCGGTCGCCTCCTTCTCCGGGCCTACTGTCCAGCGTTGTTTCGTTTCTTTGAACCGCTAGGAACTAATTTGGCTTAAATCGCTGCCACCATGTAGGAAGCATTACGCATCAGCCAGCATGGAGATTCGAACGAATGATCTTTTATTGCGCGCGCTCCGCGCTCGTGCTCAAAACGCGGCACCGCTGGGAGACGTGGCGCCATCTATCGCTAGTTACTACAGGCACCATAACCATAATCGAAACGATCTGTCAACTACTTAGGTAAATTTGTTAATTAACTTCCAAATTAGTAAAATTAGTCGTTTTCAATGACGTTCAGTAATTATCTAGTTGAAACCCTTTTTAGGAAGAAGGGTTTCAATTAGATAATTACTGAACGTCATCGAAAACCATAAAATCGGTAAATTTGAAAAGACGTAAAGCGCGTGAAAAGCCAAGCAGCGCGCTAAAGTTTCCACTTGTGAATCTAGAGCAAGGCGAGTGCGATAACACGCCTGCGCGATTTTTCCGTCTCTTATTATGGCCCCAGGCTTGCGCCTGCTGCGCGAGTAGTACCTTCAGCGCCCTACTACGCTTCCAACACGTTCAAAGTATTTC